ATTGACCACTCAATGTTACTAAATAAAGGAAATAGGATCAACTGGTAAGATATTTCCCCACTAATAGGACTAATCAGAACAATAGAAATAACCTTAGGACCAATCGGTACAACTGTTTGTGAGATAGGATTTATTGGTAAATATCCCTTTTTTAAATTAGAATCATTTAAATGAGACAAGCGTAAAAACAAAATTGATTTTTTTAAAATAAAAAATAAAAATAAGTTGAAAAAATAAGCTTGACCTTTTATGAATGGAAAAATTATTTATAAATCCTATAAGGGAGACTTACATATGATCCTAGTAAAAAAACTTATAATCACACAAGTCCTGTGAGAAGTTTGTTGACACATTTATTCTCAATATTAGTTGTTAATATCGAAAACAATGGCAAGACCATATATAGGAAATTGAATGTTACCATAAATCATATCTATATGAATGTGAAGAACCAAGATTCCGATACTCACAACCCACTTCAGAAGCCATCATAAGAAAGTTTACAGATAAACAATCTAACTATGAATTCAATAAATATATAGGCCTCGTTTGGGAAGTGGCTATTTTAGAGGCTTTTTGGCTTTTTGGCTATTTTAGTAGGCTATTTTAGTTTTTGTGTTTGAGAAGATGAGATAAATTTTTAATTGAGTTGGTATATTGAAAAATGTGTTGAAATGATATTTGAAGTTAAAATGGCTAATTTAGCCCTAATCTCACATTTTTCAAAATAAAGACAAAGGGGCAAAAATGTAATTTCCCTACCTGTCACTATGATAGTGGTAGGTTCTGTCACAGTGACAGCGCTGCCAGCCTATATTTTTTTTTTTTTTTTTTTAAATGAAGACAAAGAGGCTTTTTGGCTTATTTAGACAAAGGGGTTATAATAGCCTAAACTAGGCTACTTTTTTCCTTCCCAAACACCCCCATAATGAAAACTAAGAGTAACATTCACATAGATTCCAAGACTTTTCACAAACCAGTAACATTTTCACATTAAATTAAAAAAATTAAAAACCCAGTAAGTTTGCGAAACGTAACGTGACACGCATGTAAACACTGAATACAACAACATCACAACACAAATTCAAAGACAAATACAACCGAACGTAACACACACAAAATATGACAACATTACAGAAATGGATTAACATACAACCTAAATGTAACGTCATTTAAGGCTAATGAAAGTGTGTCAATGTATGACTGTACCATTTTTCATAAACCAACAACATTTTCACATTCAATTAAAAAAATTAAAAATCCAGTAAGTTTGCGAAATGTAACATGACACATACGTAAACACTGAATACAACAACGTCACAACACAAATTCAAAGATAAATACAACCGAACGTAACACGCACAAAACATGACAACATTGCAGATGTGGGTTAACATTACAACTTAAATGTAACGTTGTTGGAGGCTAATGAAAGTGTGCCAATATATGATTGTACCATTTTTCACAAACTAACAACATTTTCACATTTAATTAAAAAAAATAAAAAAAACTAATAAGTTTTCGAAATGTAACATGACACATATGTAAACACTGAATACAACGACACAGTACAAATCCAAATATAAATACAACCGAACGTAACACACACAATACATAACAACATTGTACATATGGGTTAACATCGGATGGCAGTAATAGATTCCGAAAGCCATATCAGTTAATATGACATTGAAAAAGGAACAATCGGGCAAACACACAACAACAACACTCACCGATTGCAGAAACAAAAAATCTTACCTCCTTCCTTCAAACACTTGGAGTCCAAATCGGTAAAAGCAAACAATATAACCCCCAACCTTGACGATAGCATCACCCATATTTACATCCAAACTAGCAACATTTTCAAAATCCACCGGAATCCACGATCAATGAACTATTCACTCCCACGGACGAAGCGTACACATTCCACTTTCTTAAAAATCTCCAAAAACTTAATAAGTTAAATAATAGAATAATCTATAATATGAAAACATATAAAGGGCATAATAATACACTAATACCATTTACTTACAATTCATAAAATCTTGTGAAACACCTTCCAATCAAAATAAGACTTAAAACTCTATAAAAAAAACTACACAGAACTTCACATTAAATAAATTCTCCTAATAAGGCTAATAAATAATTTTTCCTTTAATTTTAGCCAAGTAAGTGAACTTAAGCCATGGCAATGGCCTAGCCCGGACCTAAAATTTAAGGCCTATGTCCATGGCGTTGACTAGTCAACAGTTTGTGCTCGGACCAAGTCATCTCTTATGGACTTAAGAATATGAGTGTATAGGATTCGAGTCTGGACTTGGCCATATGAGCCTAATCTAGACTTTAAATTCAGGAGAAATATTTTTAGGATGTGTATTATATATAAATTATGTTATTTATAAATTTGATTATTACAAATGACATAACTCAATACTATAGAAGATCATAATTAAAAAATAAATAAAATTGAGTTATAACTAAATATCCTACAAAATATAACCAAATAACTCTTGAATTATAATTAAAATCTTATCATAACCAACATCACAGTGTATGATAATTAATAATACAATACGTCATAACTATTGACTCAAAATTTGTAACAAAATGTACATACAATACACACCTGAGAAGGGGTGTGTACTCGAGAATTTCACTTAGTGCAATATAATCTTTTTTATTAAATTCAAAATAAATTAAGAAAAAAAGTTATTTATAACACAATCTTAAAATGCATTACAATAATTAGAATAGAATATTGAATCAAAACTCTATTTCTTGAAATACATAATTACATTTTTTTTTTAACAAACATAATTACATTGATTATGAGTAAATCCCATATTATTTAAGGGCCAGGTCAGTTGGACCTATAATTGGGCCTGGACCAGACCCAAAAAACTAGACGGGGAACTTACTGATAAGTCCCATGTAACAAGTTCAAAACCCAACTAATCCCAAAACAAAATACTTGCACCAATTAGTCCAACACATTTTTAATTGTTACCAAAAAATTCTTTCTTTTTTCTTTTAAATTTATAGACACTGTTCACATCTTACTACCGTCGGACTTCCGTTTAACGGTCGCCGGAGACTCACCGGAATGTCTAGAATATTGCCGGAAAAAAAAAATTAAAAAACATGTTATGAAACTGTAAAATTTTACAGTTCTAAAGAATGTTATAAAACTGCAAAATTTTACAGTTTTAAACCATGATTCATTCCAGCACCAAAAAAAAAATTTGAAACTGCAAAATTTTACAGTTTTCACCGCCTGTAACTAAAACTCGAAAACTGCTTGTTCAGAATTCGAAAATTTTCTCCATTAGAACAGAAAAACAGAAGTGTATAGCAGAGAGAGAAAAAAAAAAAAAGAGATCGAAGGGGAAAGACGGATGTCTAACCAAATCTGTGTAGATCTACTCAGATCTGATGTAGATCTGAGTAGATCTATATCAGATCTAAGTAGATCCATTCATCTTTTTCGTCGGAAAATATATCATCTTCTTCGTCGGAGTTGATTTCAATGCTTGGTGGTTATCAATGAACCCCGATCAATGGAGAAAGATATGATCACCGGTGGTCCTCTTCCATAACAAACACGGTGACAGAAAAATGTAGAAAAAAAAACGAGAGAGGAAGGGAAGCAAAAAGCAGAGAGAGAGAGGAAAGGACTTTTGGGTGTAGTGAAAAAGTTATGGGATTAAATGGAGATCACATGTTTCCCATGGGACCTATGGGTAATTTCCCCAAACTAGACAAACCCAACTTCTCTTCTCTCCTCTCCCTCTACTGTGAATTATCTTTTGCTCTTGGAGAACTTCCATGACGATCATAGGTTAGTTTTCTACTTGCTCTCGTTCTTCTCTGTTCTCTCACTATTTTTAGGTTCTTGTTTGTTGAGGCTTCTCTATCTTTATTCTTATTTTATTTTATTTTTTAATTTTTTTTTCTAAGTTTGCAATGATTGGGAATTGGAGTTGTTAATTTTATCTAATTCAGTTAAGATTGTGGGTTTTATGCTATTCTGCAATGTGGGAATTTTAATTACAATTTGTACCTTCTTGGAGATAGAGATAGAGAAAAGAATATAATGGCATGTTTGGGTTTCTTCTTCTATTTCTTGCTTTTGGGTCTGATTGTGTGCGTGAGGTGTTTGTTAAAATGTCAAACTGAAGATGCTCATCTGCATAATGAAATGGTCGGTCTTGACAATGATTTGGGTAAGGCCTTTGTTTTTTGTTTCACTATCAAATCAAACCAAAGCAAGCTTGGTGTCCCTATCAAGTGGGTTTTGTTATTGCTTTTGAGTAATAATGATTTTTTTATTGGCATTGAATTGGATGTCTGTTTGGTTTTCTTAATACTTTTCTACAGTATTTTTGTTCAAAATTACTTTGTAGGCAGGCACAAACTCTAAATTGAGCCTGTTTAAGAAGAGCAAAAAACCAATTCTAGGGGCCTCAACTTCACTGGTTTGAAACCTTTTCAGTGTTTGGTAAAGCATTTCAGAAGTACATATGCCAACCTTTACTTGATAAAAATTCCCAAAACCTGGTTAAAATCAAACCAAGTTGGCTGGTTTTTCAAAATTTCTGATAAATTAATGAAAGTGGAGCTGACCTGGCCCATTTTTTAGATCACCCAAAGCAAAGTATATAATGAAATTGAACTGTTTTTCATTCTTAATTTTAAGAAATGAATGACTATCATGTTCCTTTTATTTGAGCATTGTCATGTTTGCTTTATCTTATGAAATTCTTCTCAAAAGTTCCCTCTCTTAAAAAAAACTTCATCTCCTTCCCTTAATGTATACCAGATTGCTTCTATAATCTTGAATATATGTCTTTCATTTATTATTTTATTTCAAACAAAGTCAAAGAGGATGAAATAGCGAAAAATATAAATATTTAATTTAGGTCCTTTACTCTAATGACCTTTTTGAATAACAAAAATGTCTTTCAGGTTTCAACTAATTGTTAACTGCCCAACTGTGTGGTGATTCTCTCTCTCAGCTGAGAGTTGTTGGCAGAAAAGTAGTTCCCTCTTGCCGATGCTAGTAAAGATCTTTCCATGGCATCATTCAAGATATCAAACCCTAACCCTACACTCAAACATCCCCTTTCATGATGTAACCCAGCCAGCAATCCTCTGTATCTCTCGTTTTTTAAGCCAATCTAAATCCCAAAATGAAGATACCTATGACCCTCCATTTTCATTCACCTCCAAAACCCTAAAACCCAATAACGAGAACAAGGAAAAGAAGCAAGGGAATAGTCAAAACAAAGCTTCATCGAAATCCGAGAAAGACTTGGACTTTCCATTGAAATCAAATCTACCCTTCGATTTTAGATACTCATGCTTTGAGACTAACCCTTCGATTGAGCCCATTGGGTACCGTGAACCACCGAGATTCTCTCCCTTTGGACCTGGACGGCTTGACCGGAAATGGACCGGCACTTGTGCTCTGGCCAAAGAAGCAGTTGATTTGCTAAAGTTAGAAGAACAACGACGTGAGGTTCTTGGAGAAGAATAATAATGGCCTGTTTGGGTGTCTTCTTATATCTGCTGCTTTAGGTAATTGTTATCTTCTTGGTTGGAATAGCTCGATTTTTTCACACACAAACAAACCCTTTTTCTCTCTTGAACGCAAGAATACTGGATATGTACATCCTGAATATGTAAAAATATGAATTCATAGATGTGTTAGGGCATCTCAAGCCCTTAATCAATACCCATATCATGTTCAAATTTGAGTAAAAAAACTCCCAAAACCGTCTTCACGCCTTTACTTGAAAAGCTCATATCAAAATGAATTCCTTCCACTTTTTTACTTAAATTTTTATCAATTTTACTCAAAACAAGGGAGGCCTATATTCTTTACTCAAATTTCTATACAATCTAAACTTAACAATTGGGCACTTTCACCTAAACTTTCCACTAATCTCTTCTACTTCAACCCATTACTTTCACTCAAACTTGACACTGGTCAATTTTTCTCAAACTTCACATGTGGTTAATTTTTTTGTTTTCTATTTTATTTATTTTTTTAAAATTTTTATTTTACTTTTTTTTTTTTTTTTTGTAGTTGTAAAAACTATAATAAAATAAATAGCATATTTGGTATACTTAGGAGTTGTTTGGGATGACCTAAATAAGTGCACTTTTTGTCTTTTTACGAAAAGATGTGCAAAAAAGTAGAGAGATGATGTGATGGAAAAAAGATAAAAAGATAAAAAGTGTGTATTTATTTAGGATAGCCAAACTTGGCCTTAATTCTCGAAACATATAAAAAACAAAAACAAAAAAAACAAAAAAATGTTTGGTAAGTTATCAAAAGCAAGAGTGATAAACGAGCCGAACAATTAATTTCCTTGTTCAAAAAAAAAAAAAGAAAAAAAAAAGAGTTGAACAGTATACTTTTCAAGCTTGGTTTAATAACTTTACGAGTTTTAAAATTTGTTCAAACTTGGTTCCTTTAATTTTTGAGTCGATCTCAAACAGGCTTTTGTCAAACCGAACTCAAATAGTTTCATATTTTTATATAGTTTTAGGTTTATCGAACTGAACCGAATGAGTAATTGCCTGTTCAAGCTTGGTTTGAAAACTTTAAAGAGCTCCAAAATGTGTTCAAAGCTTGTTTACTTAACGAAATGAGCTCAAACGAGTCGAGCTCAAGCTATTTGATTCATTTATCACTCCTAACCAAAAGGGGGAATGGTCGAAGATGGTCGCTGAAACAAAGAGGGTGCCCAGAGGATAGAGAGAGGCAAGAGGGAATGAAACTTAAGTAAACACAATTTTTTTGTTTCCTGGAATTCTGAAATTGTAGCCATTTTTTTTAGAGTGAAAACAATTACCAAACGTTTTTTTATTCCAGTTTTCAAATTTTTTTAAATCTAAAACAAAAATAGTAATAATCGTGAAAATAAAAACCTCACCAAACGAACCCTAAGATTTACAATCCCAATAAAAAAATTTGTGAAGTTTCCAACTCAGAGTTAGGAGGTCAAATAACAGGGCTCCCGATCTACTAAGAAAACAAAACTATAATAGAGAAAAGAAAAAATAAAATAAAGAAAAATTTGATCCCAATATGAATACAATAAATTAAGTACCTAGAGCACATGAAATAAATACATAACAAGCATTCTAAATGTGGTGGTGATCCAATATGGTTAGAGCTCTCTCCTTTCTCACTATAGATAATTTTCTTCCACATAGCCACGTTTTGTGTTTACAATCCCAACCTCCAGTATGTGTGCAATTTTCCAATAATTTCCATCTTCTAAGTCCCTGGCTCAAACTCAATCCATTAGACATATCAACCAAATAAAGAGACTTAAGGTTGTGTCATCAAAGACCACTTGGGAAATGTATTGGTACTGACAGCTCTTGAGATTAACTAACAATCTCTTGGACCAAATCTAGACCAGATAGTTTGATCCTAACCAGCAAGTCATTGAATTTAGACGTTGGTCTAGATGGAGTGATATACAATAACTAATATCATCATTAAATTCTGGTGTAATACTTAAAATAGATGAAATGTTTACTATCTTTATTTGTTTAAACTTTTTATTTGACATTGGATTTCTGTGTAGGGCCTTGACGTTCCTGAAATTCTTGTAGAAGCTGAAAGGCGTGGGTCATCTTTTGATGAATTGTTGACAATGCCCGAGTAGGATGATTGGATATACAGTGATGGGAAGTCCACATCATGTGTTGTTTTCATTCTAGAAATGTACAAGGAAGCAGGGTTGTTTGATCCAATTGCAAACTCCATTCAAGTTACAAAGTTTACGGTGAGTTTGTTGTGAATATTCAATTTCATTAATTTAAATAACAAAGTCTCAAATTTGCATCCAATTAATGTTCCACGATCAATACAATGGTTTTTTTAAAAATTTATTTATAATATTATTTATTGAATTGGCTTATATTAAATCCAGTATTCAGATGGTTTAAACTATGTTATTGTATTTGAACGAGGTTGGAAGATCTCACGACTGCACCCTCACATTTCACCTAAGTTTGCATTGAATGATTATTGACAAATTTTTCCTCAATAAAACTATTATTGTCTGCATGTGCACTGCTTTGTACTTCTTCACGTACAAAAAAATAAAAGAATGTTCGTTTATTTTAGGGTAAATTACACAAATGGTCCCTAAAGTATACTCTTGATTTCATTTTGGTCCCTAATCTTTAATTTGATTCAATTGCATCCCTATACTTGACATATTAATCCAGTGTAGTCCCTTTCTTAATTGTTGTCTAAAAAACATACTAAAAATGCTTATGTCAGTCTCATGTCAGGCATTTGAAGGGCATAAAACGACATTTTGACACATCTATTTATACCAAATACTATCATTCAAAGAGCCAAACACCCTATGTATTCGACTTTCAGTAATGAAATGAAGGTCTTGAATGCGTTTTATTTTGTAAATAATGTTCATTTCACTTGTCTCATGATTCATGTAGGTGGAAAATGCAAAATTCCTTGTAATGCTCTCCAAATGCCTTATGTGAAGCTGACATAAGCATTTTTCGTAATTTTTTTAGACGATAGTTAGGATAGGGAACTACATTAAATCAATGTGTAAAGTTTAGGAATGTAACTGATACGAATTAAAAACTATAGACCAAAATGAAATCAATGATATACTTTAGGAACTATTTATGTAATTTACCCTTTATTTTTACCATCATGAAAATAAACTTGAACTGTATGGATAAATGTGGATGTTCAACTGAAATTGATTGTTTTGTGGATGTAAAACCCTGGTCAGGTATTTTACATATTGTTTTGCTTTGTTAATTTGTCTTGTCCAAACTACAGATAAAAGATGCTTACACTCTCAAGTTCTTTGAAAACAATTCAAGCCGCATGGGGGTGTTTGGGAACCCACTTTTGAGGCTAAAATAGCCTCAAACACTAAAAAACCCAAAAAGCCTAAAAAATTCTAAACCAATAATTTATATTTAAATAAAAAAATAAAAATAAAAATTGGCTCGGCATGGAGCAGCCTATACTATCACTTGATAGTGTAGGCACAGTTTAGCTTCAGCCTAGTACCACAGTGTAGGCATAGTGTAGGCACATATAGTAAATGACAATTTTGCCCCTTTAGACAAATTTTGGAAAAAGTGAGATTAGGGACAAATTTGTCATTTCAATTTCAAACATCATTTCAAACACATTTTTTAATATAACAACTCAAATAAAAATCCATCCTATCTTTCCAAACACAAAAACTAAAATAATCTACTAAAATAGTCAAAAAGCCTAAAAAATAGCCACTTCCCAAACACTCACAAAGTGGTGCAATAGCGCAGACACTGTGAAGCTCCTTTACTGCTAAATTCGAGGGAAATATCGAATGGAACTACCTGAATACAATACGATAGATCCATACCTGCATATGAATGAAAGGTGCCCATCTCTTCCCCCAAAATATTATAGGCCTAAGGGTTGCTAAAAAGTCTTTTGATTTGTTTATCCTGTTTCGAAGTTTTTATACCATAGCTTTGTATAATACTAGGTGGTTGTATGACTTATTTTTCTGTATAGAACCTTTCTGATGCCAAGACTTGAAAAGATTCCAAAAGATTAGTTGATGTAAGTTTGATATTGTTTGTAAATTTGCTAACACAATATGCACAGAGAATAATGGTAATTTCATTGTTACTGCACAGTTTTACTTCTGAAAATCCTAATTTAGAAATCTAGATGATTAAATAAGGTTTGATTTCAATGGAATTGCTATTCTTTTTCAAGGATCAATAAATTGTGGAGGGAATCCTACAAAAACTGTCAAGTTAGATCTAATCAATGAATCTGTTTGATGAACCATTAGGATTGATTTCCGTGGTTCCGTAAACCAGTTCCACGGTTGATATTGAGGTACTTCTCCTTCCGCTAGTCATTCTATTACATCATGTTGCTCAGTCAGTTGGGAGGCATTTTAGCCCCAGACAAAAATAGTCAAACAATCAAAAAGCCAACCCACAATCCAAATGAACCCTTAGTGCTACTTTAATAAAACAGTTAAGACTTACTTTTCAAGCCTAATGATGTAGTACTCCATTAAAATATTGATAAATTATAAATACATTTCTTGAAATTTGCTTAAAATATAATTGTCCTTTGTGATTCTAAAAATTACATCTTGCCTCTTTAAGTTTCTAATTACATAACAAATAACTCATTTTATTAATAAATCATCAAATTAATTAATTGTTTTTAATGATGTCATAAATATATTTCAATTAACAATTCAAATAATTTTATTGTTATATAGGAGAATGATTAAAATTTTCATCTTTTTGTTAATTATGTTAAGTAAATTTTTTTGATAATGAGGTATTTGTATATTTTAAGTAAATCTTATGAGGTGTATTTGTAATTACCTTAGAATATTTAAGTCTAATATTTTCTTTAATTATCAACTATTCATTTGTTTTATATTATACATCACTGGGGTTAAAAAGTGAGTTTATAAAATAGATTTGTATATCATTTTTTAAAATAAAAACAAGTATAGTAAGTTACCAAAAGGGAGCAGTGGTCGAAAGTGATTGCCAGAGTGAAGACAGAAGGGTGAGGGTGGTACGAAGGAATGAAGCTTGTTTTGAAAATAAGTAAAATTAGAATTTTTCTTATTTTCATAAATTCTAAGAACTGTAGCGAGATTTTTTTGAAAGTGTAAACAATTAGGAAACGTGTTTTTTATTCCAATCTCAAAAAATCTAAAGCTAAAGAAAAATAAACAAAATAAAAATCTCACCGTTCAAAAATTTGTGAAGTTAGCAAACGCGTTTTTTAAAAGTGAAAACAATTTTAACAAATGTGTTTTTATTTCAATTTCAAAAAATCTAAAGCTAAAGAAAATTTTTAAAAATTAAAAAAAAAACTCACCAAACGAACCCTAAGATTTACAATCCTAGTTAAAAAATTTGTGAAGTTACCAACTCTCTAGAATCAAAATTAGGAGGTCAAATAATAGGCTCCCGGACTACTAAAAACACAAAAATGTAATAGAGAAGAAAAAAAATAGAAAAAAATTTGATCCCAATATAAATACAACAAATCAAGTACCAAGAGCACATGAAAATAGATAAATACATAATAAGCATTCTAAATGTGGTGGTGATTCAATATGATTAGAGCTCTCTCCTCCCTCACTATAGATAATTTCCTTTCCAATAGCCAAGTTTTGTGTCCCCAATCCAAACTTTTGAGATGTGTGATATTTTCCAATTACTACCACGCTCTAAGTCTCTGTTCAGACTTGAAATCAATCCATCAGACATATCAACCAATTCAAGTGATTTAAGGCTGGTTAGATGTTCAATGCCAGAGGGTAACTCCTCCACCAATTCGCATTGCCGGATAACTAACTCTTCAAGACGAGGCATCGAGCCAGCCTCCACTTTCACCCATCTCAATCCTTTTAATCCACGAAGGTATAATTTCACTAGTTTTTGAAATCCACCAGCCTTGAAACACAATTCTTCCCTTTCATGTGTCTGAAGAAAAAGAAGTACAACCAAATTGGGCAAACCTTGAAGGGATTCCAGCGGATCAACATCCCTCAACTTACTCCATCGTAAAATTACTTTTACCAAGTTGTGCAGTGAAGGTATCCAATGTGGTACCTTAAGTAAACCTCCGTCTAGGCAGAGCGATCGAAGAAGTTGAGGTGGTGAGGAAAGAGAATCTAGATCAATGACCTCGTCTTCTCCTGTTGCACGAACAATCAATGAGCGAAGGTTACTAAGCTTCTCAAGGGACGAGCATAACACCCTCCCGTCTTCATTTTTCAGGCTTTCAATCTGTAATTTCTGCAGTTGAGTCAACTTCCCTACCTCTCCTAGCAAAATGGTCCCATTATCATGGTTTGTTTCAATAGAGCAAAGTTTTTGTAAGGATGACAAACTTCCTATTTCCGTCGGAGCTTTGAATCCGCATTGGTATTTAAAACGAACTGGAGGAATATGATCTTGTATGTGGCGATACAACAAGATATGGCGAAGTCGTTTGAGCTTCAGGATATCATCAGGCAACTCAGTGACATATGTTTGTTTAAGGTCCAATGTTTCCAGGTTTTGGAGCTTTCCAATCGACTTGGGTATTATTTTTACATTGGTTTCCCTCAAACTTAAATACTTGAGTTGAACTAGTTTCAAAACTTCATTTGGGAATGTCTCCATCAAGGCACCTATCAAGTCAAGCACAGCTAGCAGCCGTAGACCATCATTTGACGATGCGAGCATGGACAACTTGGATAGTGAATCTGTTGCATTGAACATAAGCAAAGAACGAAGTCGAGTGAAATGCTTGCTTTGTTGTGTGTATTCCCAATGATTGTTGATTGATAAGCGCTGCACCTTTTCAGGCCACGCTCTGCTTTGTTCACCGGCTAGTGTCACAATGTTTTGCTCTCCCGACTTCGAAACAATAATTTCACGCCAAAGGTCATGGATGCGATACGCTGCGACCCTTCTATCTCTTCTTCTCTTTGCCACTTGAACCAAGCTTCTATTGATTAGCTCATTGAGGTAGCCCTCGGCAACTTCTTCTTTCGTCATTCCTACTTTCATTTCTACAAATCCTTCTGCCACCCATAATCGAATCAATCTCCAATGGTCAATGAAACAATCCTCTGGAAAAACACTTAGATAGAGAAAGCAGGACTTCAGATAATAAGGTAAATCAATGTAACTGAGGGACAATATTTTCTTCATGCTTAGGAGTTTGTCATTTCCTTGTAGTTCTGCACCAAGGTTGCGGTAGATCTTATCCCACTCCTGCACACTGCTCGTATCCTTTGTTGATAAAAGACCACTAATTGCCACAATTGCAAGCGGCAATCCCTAGCATCTATTCAAGATGGCTTTTGAAAGTCCTTCCAAATGTGAAGGGCAAGAATTCTCCATAAATGTTTTCCTGCAAAACAATGTCCAAGACTCTTCGAGAGTCAAGGGCTGAAGATTATAGACATTCCCATGATATTCTTTACTAGCCGAAGAGGCTAAATCTACATTTCTGGTTGTCAGCATTACTCGACTCCCACAATTGCCAATGGGAAACACATGTCTAAAAGATTGCCAAGCATGAATATGCCATACATCATCGAAAACAAGCACATACCTATTTTGTTGTAGGAAGGCATTAATTATCGCTTTCAAGCTGTTGGTATCCATGTTGTCCATCCCTTGTGGAACTTCTTGCTTGATTTCTTCAAAAAGTTTTTTGATGATGTCTTTTAGGAGCACCTCAATCTTGAAGGATTCAGAAACAGTGATCCAAACATGGCTTTGGAAATGATTCTTCACAACTGCATCATCAAAGGCCTTTTTAACCGGTGTTGTTTTGCCCAATCCGCCCATTCCTGATATGGAAAACACCTTGAGTCTGGGGTCTTCATGCACCAACCACCTAATTAGTTGGGATTTGGGCTTGTTGATGCCCACAAGCTCAGATTCATGGAGTAGAAGGGCATCGCCGCGATAGTCATGGCATGCTGTGCCAAGACCAATGGACCTTGAGCTTGAACCTTGCTCTGAGATACCATATCTGTCATGGTACCTCTGATGTCCCTTGGAAATATCGTCGACTCTGAACTTCATTCTTTGAACTTGAGAAGCAATTTGGTGATGAGCTTTTAAAGTCTTAATAAAGCAAGAAACCTTACGAAGAAAACCGCAAAATCCAGCGCCATGACGATGTCCGAGGCAAAGCATGTACAACTCGAGAACATCTCCAATGTCGTAT